GGAAAGAGGCTTGCCTAATGAGCCAATGCTTTCTTCCTCTCAGTTTGGTCCCTCTCCACCCACCTTGCCCCCTTCTTTCTTATCCCCTCCCCCTGTAGGTAATGATTCTTCCCAGATGACAATGTGGCTGGCTGGTCTGGAATCCTGCCCAGGAAAGATGCAGACATGACCCAGTTCTCAGAGTAATCCAGGCTTGAAGCCTTTGCTCTGGAAGGTACAGCTCCCAGGGGTGTGGCTGCATCATAAACGTGTATAAGGCTTAGCAAAGGATTCCAGCATCCACACCCTCATCCCTCCTTAGCCTTGGCCTGGGCTCAGGCTTGACCCTGCAGCTGTGTTCCACTGCATTCGATAGGAATATGAAGGTGAGATCTGAGCTGGACCCTAGCAGCCCCCTCCCATGGAAATGGGAAGAGAATGGTCTCCTTGTTTTCCAAATGGTTGATTATTGGAGGAGAGGCTCCAGAGCCCAGATGGCAATATCCAACAAAGGAAGACTGTGTTAGTTATGAAATTCTCCCAGCCTCCCCTGGACACTTCCTTTGACAGGTTATGGGGAATAGGAAGCCCACCAGAATTTGGAGTAGGTAGCAAATTTGCAGGAAGAGCCTGCACAATGGAATGGATGTTCCAATGCCCCAGTCTCAACAACCAAGTTGGGTACCTTCTTCTCTTTGTCTTTCTGCAAGCCTCCAGGATCCATCCTTCACCTATTTCCTGCCCTTGCCCCCTCCTCGATTTTTTCCCAAATCCTCTTTTTCCACCACCACCACCCTCCCTTCCATTCTAGGTATCAGGTCCAGAATCTCCATCAGGCACAAGTTGTCTCACAGAGTTTGTATCTTTGGGGGTGTTAATTCTTCCAGAGTTGGAGCATTATTGAAATTGGGCCCCACAATGGTTGAAGTAAGAAGATGCATTCCTAAAACATGAAGGAGCCCTGACTTTCCAAACTGTACATATCCCTTAAAGCCCTGGCCTTCCTCTGTGCCCTTGGCTTCTGTTGCTCCTGCAGGCACAGGTGTGGGATGATTACTGCAGGGAGCACGGTCCCACCCACACTGGGGAGGGAGCTCTGAATGCTGCTTCCATTTCCTCCTCCTGTTCTGGAGTCCATAACTGCTCAGAACCTCCACAGTCTCAGACGTGCATGGAAGAAGTGTTTAGTGGATATTGGTGAATATGTAAATAAACTGCAGGAGTGCGCCCTTCGCCTTATTTTTATCTGGGCAGCCATCAGTCTGGGGATGGGGATGGAGATGGGAAACTAAGAACTGGCACTTCAAGGCAGTAAGAAGGGAAGATCATTTTGCAATATCAGTGTGATCCTAGACACCTGCCTTTTCTGCAGTTTCCTTGTACTGAGTGGGGACTGATTTGGTGGATGTGCCATCGTTGCTTGAAAAGACGCCGTGCTCTTGACAAGAGGTTACAGAGACTGTGAGGAGGTCCTGGGTTTGCAAAGGATTACTTGTAGAAAAGATCCCAGAGCAGGTTTCTGTGGCTGCTGGGGCAGGGCCAGTGTGATAAAAGAGTGCCCCCTAGTGATTCTCATCCTCACTGCTGGATCGGCTCCTCTCGAGGCTCCCAAGGTGGATCTTGGGTCCCTGAGTGGGGTGGTAGGGGGATATTTGGGACACGGTTTCATCCAGGGGACAGTCTCCCAGGCTCCTCTAAGAATGGACTATTGGCTCCAGTTGTGTTTGTGACTTTCCTCCCATTTCAGCCTCTCCTGCAGTTTCATTTGGTCTTTAAAGAGATACCATCTTTAACACAACTTTAAATCATTGACATTAGGAAATTACCT